TAGTTGAATCTAGTATGCTTGATTGATGAATAGCTATACTTGATGAGTTGTTAGATCTTAAATGGAATTTATTATGTAATCAATTATGTCTTTAATTATGTAAAGGGGGCAGCAGTAGAATCTAGTCACAGGAAAAACAATTAGAAGTAGTATTTCTAATTCGTGGAGGATTTGATAATCCGTATCTGTAGAGTCTATTAGTCGATCTGTGTTGGTCATGTGTAACCAATGTGTGTGAACCACAGTGACTCTTGCGTCAGCTGTTCAGGGCCTGCACGGCTCCGAAGTGTTCTTCGGACGAGCGCTAGTGTGCCCTGTTTGTGCTAGCGGGCCTGTACGATGTCGAGTGGTTAGTTCGAGAGAGCGTAAGTGTGCCCGATCGACAATAGCGAGAGATGTGACTTGTTTATTTATTAATATAAAGATGTACCTGGTGAACTGCAGGTTGGATGTATTCGATGCTGTGTATGTAATGTTCCCCTTGATTACAATTCCATTGGCTTCACTGTAATCACTTATTAAAGAATTGCCGATTATCTTTTCTATGCACGCGGGTACTCTTTACTATGCTGCCGAAAATGTGGCCACGCGGCGTCTTTACAGTATACTTGCACTGACCGGCAGTTACGCTTGATTGAGAGCGGAGTGAATTTACGAATGAGCTTCGCCTCATGGCGCGTTGCGCTTAAATGTGCATGCGGCGTCTTCAGCGCCGGCAACAGTGTCGATGCGCGTCCCTTCCAGAAATTTTCCTTTGGCGTGAGAAAACGAAGCTTCTAGAAGTTTCGAAGGCGTCCCTTTTTTGTGAGTGCTGGCAGTAAATAATATTTCAAATCGTAAACTTGCTCGGACTTGCCGAGTTTTGTTTGTAAACATTTTCTCGAGTGCCCGCCTCGGTCCGCACGTGCGGATCAGCCTAGGCGCACGTGGTGGCCAGCCTTGCTGCACGCGCGGTCAGTCTAGGCGCACATGCGGTACGCCGGGCTGCGTAAATGGCCTTTCTTTTGTTTGAAATTCATGGGACTGTTTCAATCCCGAACAGTTACTATTATTGAATAAGTGATCAATTCCTCATAATTCATTTTTACTGGATATTAATTAAAAATTATGTGTAATTTAAAAATAATTTTCATGAGTAATAAACTTCTACATTTTTATAAGCTATTAGAATATTTTATATTCGATACAAAACTTCCCATTTCCCTGTTTAGAAATTTTGATTTTCTATTTTAAGTTTGATTCCTAACTTTTCTAGTATAAATATATTTTTTATTTATTCAATATACAAAATATTACATTATTATTGATACATAAAGATTAAATAAAAAATTTTCAGTTTGTTATAAACTAGCATTAAAAGTAGTGGCATCAATACTAATTTTAATGTTGATTATAATGCTACGATATAGCTATTTTTTATTTTATATTATTTTATTTTTCAATTATTAGAATAGAATAGTATAATAAATTAGTGATCACGTAGATTTTCTTTCACTAATGACACATTGTTGGTATTTATATATGTTCGGGATTGAAACAGTTAAAAGCGAAATTCAAAAGTGGGAGAAGTATGAGCTCCCGGACATTTATGTTTAAAACCAAACAATGTAGCAAATTCGAGAAATTTCCTACGCTGAAAACTCAAATATACGATTATAATTCGGCATAGCAACAGGCATCGCTGCACTGCCGGTGTCGCACCGTTTCTAAGAAAATATTTGAGCAATTTGCTAGTATAATTACGCAGTTACCACGACGGGCTCACTTTTCTTTCTTCAAGCATCCAAACTACAGTCATCACTCACTATAGCTATACAACTATCAGAAACCGTTAAACTTATATTCAAGAAGCGCGAGTACAAACATAAATTAAGAGTCAAATTAACGAAACTACAACTACACTACTGAGAGTACACACGCCCGTTAACACATAAAAAAATTGAAAAAACTTAATACATAAGTCATTCATACTCTCCATTCATACACTTCTATAACCATTAAATATTATTATATTATTGTATTTAATAAAGGGACGACCAAGATATACTGCTTATAGAATTCAATAATTGCATTTTCCCCCTCCACTTGTCAATAACACCTCCATCCAACATTACCTGGAAGTTTTAAGTCTGATCACGGACAAATTTGGTCCTTCGAGCCGGATAAGTGGAAGTTAGTGCATTCAGTCAATACTAGTAAATAAAAAAAAATTCAGCCATAGTATCAATTACAAGCAGACGCCTAAGTCACAATTCAAAAAAGGTTTCTTCAATACTGTTAGTACACTACTGTTGCACTTTATTATAACAGGATGTCAAAACAAGAGAGAAAATACACTAAGGAACCGTTGAGTTCAAATACATCCACAGTCTACGAATGCATTAACCATAGCACAATCAAGGAAAAAATATCAAAGGAGTATACATTAAAGGCCCAAACACAGTGGACACGCATTGCGACAATAAGAACATTAATTAACAGTCTCAGCGTAGAGCGCACAGACAACAGTCTGTATGAAGTATTAGCAATAAGAAATTCTATTGATAATGTACACAAAAAGTTCATGATGGAACATAGCTGTATAGAAGCCACCTGGTCATCATCAGGTATTACTCATGAATATTTTACAAAAAATGCTGTTTTAGAAGAAACCATCTATTATGCCAATGTATCGTCGGTTATCACGAAGATGTGTAATGACCTGGGCGAATCGACACAAACGAGCAATACTAAGTTAACTACTAAGGCCGAAGAGAAGGCACATACAAGAAAGTCACTAGAAATGAGTTGTCTTCCCGACATCCCTATCCCTAAGTTCTCGGAAGACTATCTAACTCGGACCGTGTTTAGGGACCTATTCCAATCATTAGTTCTCCAAAGCAAGAAACTGAGTAATGTACAAAAACTATAATAGTTGTAGAACTGTCTAGAAGGATCCGCAGCAAAGATCATATCAGGCATATCCTTGCAAAATACCTCACTAGATACAGCATGGAACAAATTGCTGGAAAAATACAATTCTTCCCGGTTAGCACTAAAGTCACTCATGAGACAACTTATCACTGTCTCACCCAAGGTTGTAAAGTCACTCACGGACTTAGAAAAATTAGTAAGCAGACCGAGTGACCTGTTGGACTCACAATTGCAATATGACGTCCCAAGTACATGGAATTCCATAACAGTGCACGAAGCATTAATTAGACAACGCGACCGAGATGAGAGAACAAAAAACTCATTCTCAACCACACACATCCAATAAGAAATTCGTAAAAACATGTCAGTCATCAACTGAAACGAGAAAAAGAGAAAATATTTTGAAGTGCGAACCAAGTCATCTCCTATGTGCTTATTGCAATGAAAACCACATAATATGGATGTACGATCAATTCAAGCGACTCACCATTTCCGAACGAAAGGCGGCAATAAAAAAACTACAACTATGCACAAACTGTCTCGTTAAACATTTTCCGAGCCCATGCCTCAGCAAGAAAATCTGCATGAACTGCCATAAAGGGCATCATACATTATTACACTAAGAAAAGAGCCTTACGTCCGAAGACTCTAGCTCATTATTGCACACCAGATGACTAGACCGGAAAACTGCCAACTCATCCGAGCGAAGACAAACAACGACCCTACTGGCCACCGCAGTGGTCACTGTAAGGACACAATAAACTCTGTATTAAGCTCGCCTTCTCAGTAATACCGACTCTGAAATTACACTCATCACTGAAAAATTGGCAAAGAAACTTCATGCAAGCCCACAGAAATCCACTGTCATTATATATGGAATAAGCAAGACGTTACCGATACAAACATTAGGGATTATTGAAGGTTTTAAGTCTGATCTCAGACAGTATAATTGTTTAGAACATTGATATTTTCATTTAATATGTTTAATTATAAGAGTATAATAATTTAATAAGAAAAGGTCTTACCTTTATTCCGCAAAACTTTTAGATACTTAGTTTACAGTCACAAAAATTAATTTTTAGTGATTCATTATTCTTATATATAATATTTTTAGGTATTATCAATTGGGTAATAGTAAATATAGTTTTACTGCTAACATTCGATTATTTTATCAAATTTTAATTTTCTCAATATAATGTCGTGTTTGTGGAAAAATTGTTTTCAAATTCATTGCTCAGTTTATCACACGTGTTATTAATAAATTATATTCATTCAAAAATATCAATGTATGAATCACAGATGCAACGATGAATAGTAGTGACCATAGATAAGTTTCCAATATACCAGTATTAATTGTGTCAAGCATAAATTTATACAAAATTAATAAATATCATTGAAGCTATTGATATAATTAGAAGCCAATATTAACACATGCCTGTTTTCCAACTATCTTTTATACAAAGGCTGCATATCATTTTATTTCTACATTTATTCATGAGAACATAATTCATGTTGAACGCAAATAAAATAGAAAATAAAAAATAATCGTGTTTTAATAGATGCGACATGAGTAACTGTGATAAATAGTATACTTTCTGATCGATGCTAATAGTCTTTTTTGAGATGAACTTTACTTTACCTGTATATAGACAAAGGGCAGTTAAGTATACTTTTTAAAGTAACTATTATAATCAAATAAGTTCATTCTTTAAAGCAACGGTAAATTAAAGTGATTAGTTCAATTAATATTCCAATGGGTTAAATGGTGACCGTTTTTCCTTCAATAACCAATGTGTAATTTAAAAATGACGTAATATTTTCAAGAAGTAAATAAAAGAAATTTAAAAGTGAAGAACTGTACAATTTTTTATAGAAAAACTCATTACTGAAATACTATTCGCTAATAATTTAAAGTCGTCGCATAATCGCTAGAAAAATACGGCTATATTACATATTGTATAATTTTATCTATAATTAATTAATATAACTTTACTTATAACGTATGCATTTTCTGTTGACCTCAATGTTTTAAGCTACTTTAAACATGTTCAACCACATTATTTTTACAATTTTAATTAATATCGTAGATTAGTTTTTAATAAGAATAAAATAAGCATACAATAACTTAGATAAAGATTTTCAAAATTTAATTTGTAACTTATCAATGTAACAGCAGGTATCATAAACTTTAATGCAATTTTTGATAAACTTTTTGAATTTGGACAGCAACATTTAATGTTTAGAAATAATACCAGATAATACTACTGAAGTATATCATCAATATACTATTGCTATAGTATACAATATACTATCAATATGCAATTGAAATAAATATAATCATTTAATCACCTATTATAATAAATACATTTCAAACTCCTTTTAAATGTAATTTGTTTTATAAATTATCTTATATATAATCATTGAAACGTTTTTTCCTCGTTTCTGTTTCAAATATACAGTATGAACATTTATTTCAATATTGTAAAATTCTTGTAACAGATGCAGAGCTAAATAAAATAGTTATAATTATAAGTAATAATAATTTTATTAAATTATTGTCTAACTGTAATATAATAATATTTTGTAATGATTTATATTATAATTTTATAATTATTTATATAAATTTTTCATAGTGCTTAATATGGTATTGCTTTTTAGCTTCACTTAAAAGTACATTCTGTAATAGATTTCCATCTGAAGAATGCGTATATATACTTGGATATGGATTTCCTGTAAACAAAATAAAAATAAACGAAAAGAAAATTAATATTTTTAAAAACCTAATTCAATGTGGTTATGAATAAATCTTATATTTATAATTATAAATATCATTAACTTAGAATACTATATCATATTTTAAAGCATAAAAGCATAAATATATTTTTTACATAAGTTACTTATTGTTCGGAATTCCAGCCATCCGGAGGCCGAGAAACAAAAATGATTAGATTATCATTTTACTGATGGCAAAGTGTGAATAAGTGATATGTTAATGCTTCAATTCAGTATTCAACACAATTGGTTTTCGTGATATTTATTCAGTTTTTACTTATAAACACACAAATGTGATTCTACGTTGGTAGTGAGAATCGTTGAGACCTTATCGATCCCTGTTGGTTTTTTACGTGGAATTAACGTGTACTACAAGTCGAAGTTGGCGTTGCAAATCTCCAGATCCTGTTGTTGTAGTGCACTTGGTGGAGGTTGCTACACTGAGAAGTGCAAGGGCGTAAATCCTTGACACTCCTTGTATAGGACCACGTATGGTACTGTAGGTATGAGTCTCCTCTTAATGATAATATAAGGATTTAATATCTCAGTCTGTTATGTCAGTATTGTAGCACTTGTCGAGACGCAGTGGGCATTGCCTCCCCGATTCGGAGTACAACACCGATTATAATGACGTCTTATAGAAGGCGCAGTTTCGACGCCTCATCTGAAGATCAGGATTTGAAGACAGTAGCATTGCAGAAAGCGTAATGCCTCGTCCAAAGTGAATGGTATCTCCTTGGAGTTTAATGTGCCGTCTCTTAGCTGACTCAAGTAAAAATGCACGTGCTTGTGGCTGGTATCCTTTCATACACCTTCAGCCATTCGCGGGAGCTTTGCGATCATGTAGTGCCTATCGCGGCAGGTGCATTCGCACCATCAGTGCCGTACGAGGCTGGTGCGTTTGCATTTTCAATATATGGCTTCTCTTTCAATTACATTCACAGAAATTCATTGTTTTAACTAAATTCTCTAATGAGTACGCAGGTGTTACGCTCCCCATATCGTAATCACTCTTGACTGCTTGAATTATGGCGCACTTAAATAGTTGTTAAATGTATTAGCTTCACTGTTGGCTTACTAGGTTATTGTTGCAGAGTCTGGCTGAATTATGTACGTATATTTAGTAAAACTGACTGACTGGTATAAGTATAGTTGTTGTGTAGCGCAATAACTGATAACTGATTGATTTAGAAATTTACATTGAGTTTACAAACCTGCTGAATACGCGCACGAAATTGAAGGCTTAGTCGTTTCGTGGCCGCTCTGTAGAGATATATCGACTATTCCATGACGGTCCTGCTAAGGTAGACCATGATCCATGCCAAGGCGTCTTCATTGAGAGTTTCACTAAGAGAGCTAGGATTGTCGCGTGCGTCCTTTAAATACGCGTACGAAAGATTACATTACTTAGCTGGCAACAATGCATAGGTGTTGATATGCCGAAATTCTTGCATAACATCAGAGACTACGCTCTAGAATGTTCGAAAATTGTAGGAAGCAAGCTTTAGACCGTTGGAGAATCTACCGTAGTTGCTATGCGGATCCTAGATAAACATTACAGGACGTTCGCAAGCAAAGGCTTTAAAATGATAGAGAAATTTCAGATCAATATTTACGATTTCGTGAGCTATAACGATTACAAGATTCGGAGAATTAAATTTCTTGTAAAGTGCTCCAATCCTGAACACTTATATTTTGTAAAACGCATCATTAACAAAACTTATAAAATTGATTTCGATTGTTAAATTTTAAAAGAATTTTTTTATTTATATTAGATACAATTAATCAATATTATATCAATTTTTTAAAGAAAAAAAAACAAAGTTTAGTTTTATTTAAAAGAAAGTGTTTAATTTTGTATAAATATTGTAATGTTTCTTATAAAAAAAAATTAAATTTTTAAATTTAATGCCTTTAATAATATGTCTCTGTTTTTCATTTATTTTATATAACTCGAATATAAAAACGACTAAGTTTCGTTAATTTAGGAATTTTTAATATAACTTATATTTTAATAGGTATTTATTGAAAAAATATGGGTTCCAACAAAAATCTATCTAATGCAGCTGGAATCACATACGTATAAGTGGTAAAATATATGTTCTAGTCATCACAATTTTAATTCATTTGAATAAATTTTATCCGTATATATTATTTCAACTGTTTCAATTATTTTTATTATTATTAAAATTAATTTTTGTTCGAGATTGTGAGACCTTTTTCAATGCAATAAAACATCTGGCAAAACAACATCATTAAATTGTCGCTAATCTTCAGTTCATTTTGTATCAAGCTATAATGTCATTAAATTCCATCATAAAGTTTGAAGAAAACCCTCTTACTGACGTCGGAGACACGAAAGGGTCAGTGCATCTGAAAAACTCCGAAAATTAGTCCAGCTAGTTACTTCGCATTGCCAATGCGTTCATTGTTTGACCCGTTAATGACCTAACTGTTTACTGGCACGACCGCGTCGAATCTGCTTGTACTAGAACAATGGAAGTGCTAGGTATACGAAAAACTCTTGACCATAAAAATATTTCTTGCCTTCACTATAACCCAAAACCCAGCATGTGCTACATCGAGCAATCGGCGTACGTGCGCATCGGCATTTTAAGACATGCTTACATTGTTCTCAAGTACGCCGAATCTTGCCGATCGCTCTAGCCAATCGACATCGCTCCCAAAGGACCTCCCATATCGATAAGTTCCAGAGAAGGGAAAGAAGACGAATAGGAGACGCCCCTTCCTTCAGACACGTTCCCAATTTTACCATATTCAAGCCTAAATCCGGAAGGAAGTGGAAATGAAGGCGTGCATATCAATCATGTTGCCGAAAGTCAAACTCTGACTGGATACAAGAAAGAAGAAAGGGTTCCTAGTTGTTCGGGATTAAAGCAGTCCCATGAATTTCAAACAAAAGAAAGGTCATTTACGCAGTCCGGCGTACCGCATGTGCGCCTAGACTGACCGCGCGTGCAGCAAGGCTGGCCACCACGTGCGCCTAGGCTGATCCGCACGTGCGGACCGAGGCGGGCACTCGAGAAAATGTTTACAAACAAAACTCGGCAAGTCCGAGCAAGTTTA